GTTGCAATTAATGTATAATTTTTTAGGCCTTAGCACAGGCATAATGAGTGCTATCATACTGTTTTTACCTTTTTCTTTACGTTTTTCTGTTTTTGACATCTGTGTTTTTTGTCTTTTTCTTTTTGTTTTTTTGTTTCTTTTTCTCTTTCTTTTCTGTTTTTTCTTTTTCGTTTAGTTGTTTTTAAACTTCCCACTTTTCATCTCGTGCCCCTTGAGAAGAAGGAAAAATTTAGAAGGGAAAGTTGGCAGTCTTGATATGGCGGGTAGATGCCAGCCAGTGACCAAAGGGAATAAATCCTTAGTGAGTTAAGGATCCGGAGGGAGGCCAAGATCTACTGAGGCAGGTCGCACCTGGGCGATAAAAAGTCGAGAGTGGGTCTCTTGTTTGGTTAGATTAGCAATAGCTACAGATAGAAATGTATAGAAATATATAATTCTTGAATAGCTTAATCTCAAATAAACAGAGGCAGGATTGCCGAATTATAAAAAAAAAATAACTTATGATATATTTCATTCTGTATCGTTACTTATTTTTAGTTAATCAATTTTCTTACCATGCCATATCAATTTACTTCTATCTCTTTGTCTTTAGCACTTATAATAATATTAGAAAACATTGGTTTTTCATGAAAATTTGATGTAGCTCAAATAATATCAGTCGTTTCTAAAGCTATGGAAGAATATGTTTCTACTATTGAGTCATCATGAATAGACATGGATGATTCCTTTTCAAAAAATTCGTCAAGACCAGTTAGTAGGTTTTGAAAACCTTCTATCTGTAATGATTTATATTTTTTTCATAAAAATTATCCAAGTCTTCTAAGTTTATCGTCCACAAAGATTTTTCAAAACCTTTTGATCAATGATGTTTCTTGGATACCTCATTTTCTGTTAACTTTTGTCGCTTAATCTGAAAATAAACTGTCTTAGTGATTTATTGCGATTATATATTATAAGTAAGGCATTATCATTTTTATTATCTGTTTCATATAGTCTTTTTTGTTTGACATACAATAGGAGTTTTTAATATAATATTTATGGAGTGTTTCATAGGTCTCTGTGGTCATACTATTTATTGTTCCATATTCCTGGATTGCCAGCACTATGTGATAGCATCAAGAATGGAACTTTGGAAGTTGAAGACCACTTGGATTGTATTTTAAGAAAATTTCAAGAAAGTCTTTGGCTCAATCCATAATGAAAGTCTGTGAAATTAGTGTATTAATAATTGAGCATTTTTGAATACTAATTATATAATTGGTTTATACCTGGAGCTGGTTACAAGAATTGTTAGTAAATAATTCTTGTCGAGTTGCAATATATATATGAAGAAATTTGTAATAAACTTGACATAATCACTTATTACTAATTCTCGGCTTTCTATAATTGTCATATAGATTATTTAACACGAAAATTATTATTTTCAATTCATCAGCTGTTATGCATGTTATTTCCGATATATTTTTTATTATTTTAAGGCCATGAAACCTAGGAATCAATATCAACCGTTGTTCAAAGGTTTGTAACACACAGCTCCTGCATTGTTCAAGTAAAAGTTCTTTAGTATAATCTAGCATATACTTAAAGAGGCCAAGATCTAAGGTATGCATTCGATTAGTAGTGATGGCTTCATATATATTGAAGTGTCTAAATTGATAATTTATAGTAAATATTAATTAAAATAATACTAATAACCTAATTTTATACCTTATCTCCCAAAATGCATTTCTTTCAGGATGTATCGAATAGTACTGCTCTTCACCACTATCTATCACTTGTTTCATATTAATTGGAGTTCTAGGTGAGATATAAGCTAAGCTTATATTATTCAAATTATTATTTGACACTAAGCAGGAATAACATGGTCTTCTTGAAGACAATGGTTGGTAAACATTTGCTAGCATATTGGCTTCTACTAAATCGGATAATATTATTGAAATTCGAGGAATGAAAGTGGTGATATGACCTCAAATTACAAAGTGAAGCTCTGGCTCCTCTACTATAGGCCTGAGAAGAATTGACATACACTTCTGAAAGACTTCTCTTTTTAGTTGACGGAACTGATTAGAATTTTTTGTTTTAAAATCTCTGGCTTTTATGATTGAAAGATATCTGATAAGTGCCTTGGATTCTGGTTTATTCACTTGGGAGTTAGGTATGTTACCAAATGATAAAATATTGGGTGCCTAGAGGATTTTCCCATTTGATCAAGTGTTATCACATCTGAATAGAGAATAATCGATAATAATTGTTGTCCTAAAAGTAATGTTAATTCTTCTTGCCTCTACCAATTACAATTATACTGTTCTTCAAATACTCGATGTTCAGCACCATCTATTATTTCAATTTTATTTTCATAATGAAGAACCAATGATTGATTTATAATATCGACCATTATTAAGGATTTTATTGTTTTGATTATTGGTTGATAGTATAATGTATATTCAACGTTTTGAAATGTTCTAATCAGAGTTTCTTTGAAATTTATGTAAGGGATAGAAGAATTGTCCAGAAATTCTCTTCCAATTCTTGTTGACGGAGGTAATGGTGATACATCCAATTTGGAAAATTTATTGAAGAATTTTATAAAAGAATTACCAGCCGAATTAGATAGTTGGTGCTTATTAACTATCTCTATAAACTTATAATAAGCTTCATTGGGCCATTTAATAGTTGGTGGATTTTGCAAGTCATCAAAATCATCTTCTAACGAAGCACTCTCATAATCTTCAAAATCACATTCTGCAAAAGGAGACACATTTGCCAAAGAAGGGTCTATTTCTATATCGGAATGAGATAATGCTAATATGTCTTCGTCCTAAATAATATATATCATTATATAACATTTTATTCCCGTAAATTCTCGAAATAGCAGGCATGAGCATTATTTCGAATTTTGGCCCAAATTAAACTTAATTTGGGCTAAAATTCAAAATAATGCTCATGCCCGCTATTTCGAGAATTTACAATACTTACATCTATTATAAAAATTTACCTTCAAAATTATAGAATCATTGGAGTCATATTCTGAAGGACTGTATTCTGGAAGCTCCCAAATATTATCATCCAATTCGTCAGCTGAAATGTCTTGATTTGATATTTCTTGAGGATAAGGGTGACTTTGTGAAATATGTTGAATTAATGCGAATGATTTTAAAAAATTTTAATTACAATGCTCACACTACCAGCACATTTTTAGAAGATAGGAATAAAAAAAAATAATGAGAGAAAGAGAAAGGATAATTAAAGAAAGCGAAAGAATATTAGATAACGAAATATAAAAGGAGATTATAAATAGATATAAACGATTATAAGAGAGCTAATAGGAGAAATTATGTATGTTAATGATATATATCGATATATAATAAAAATAGTGAAAAAAGATGGCAAAAAAATAAAGTAGAGAGCCAGAACACCAGAACCTGAACAGAATTCTGTTTCTCAGATTTAAAAAAATAAATAAAGAGATGAAACGAAAGAGAAAGTGAAAAGAAAGTGAAGCAAAAGAGAAAGAGTAAAGTATGAATTAGTGATATATTGAATTGTAAAGACAAAGTAAAAATGATAATAAAAGAGTAAAGGATGTAGCAGCGAGTAATGATTTAGAGATTTAGAGATTTTAATGACCCTTATCGATTTATATTGATTTTAGCAATTCTTCTTTTCAATCAAAACAAAGCGTATAATTATTTATATGACGTAAAATTATAAACAAAAAGTATATTATGTATATATTATTCATTATATTTCAAATCGTAGTGAGAAACTCAGCAAATTGTTTTATATATGTAATTATATTTATTGTCATTATACGCAAATGACCAAAACAACAAATAAGATAAGTATACTTTTGCTTTTTTTTTTTTGCTACATAACGATTAACACTCATCTATTTAGATAAATAAATTGTCATTACATGTATGTTTACAATTAAAAATTTTTTTTTTTTTTTGCTACATAACAAATATTATCTCTCTTAGACTCAATAAATTATTACTATACGTATGATGTTTTTTTTTTTTGTTATATAATGACTAAGTTGCATCATCAGTTATCTATTTCTTAAATTTTATAGATATATAAATATAACTCTTTGAGAATCAAAAGGTAAAACATTTTTGAAAATTTTTGAAATGAATAACAACAATACTAATAACATATTACCTTCTGAAAATTTTATCAATAACACTTCGCCCAACTTATCTTCTTCTACCAATATATCTACTGATACAACCCGCTCTTCTACCAATACAACCTGCTCTTCTACCAATACAGCCTATTCTCGTACTAATACAACCCATTCTCCTATCATTACAATCTGTTCTCTTACCTCTATTCCTACCAATACAACCTCTATTCCCACCAATACAACTCGTTCTTCTACCTCTATTCCTACTAATACAACCCGTTCTCCTACCTCTATTCCTACTAATACAACCTGTTTACAATCGGTGCCTCCAACTCCTGGTTCTCCAAATAGTGACAGTAATTTATCCGATTCATACAAAAGCATTAAAAGTATACAGAATATATTTGAGAAAATGAAAGGAAAACAAACAAAATCAGAACATACTACCTAAACACATCTTTCACCTTTTTCACAACAAATCTCTTACTCTCGACAAGATACTCCATCTCAACAAGATACTCCATCTCGTTCTCCATCTCGTTCTCGATCTATCGATTGTAATCGATCGCAATTACAAGAAAGATCCCGATCATGAGATCAACAATCTTCCAATCAAAATAAGCTACGCAATCATGATCGTGATGGTATATAAGTTCCTTTTTTTCGTTTTTCTTAGATGTTGCACTTTGTGCAATTTTATTTTTATTTTTATTTTTTTTAAAAAAACTGAATTGAAGAACGTTCGAACCAATACTACCTGCGGGTGGATGAGAAGCTATTTACACAGCACCAGCAGCTATACCATTTACTTAAAAGGATCAATGAAGACATACAAGAAATCAAGGCCGAAGTAAAATGGCAGTGACATAACACCGAAAAAGAACTTTCTCAGAAAGTCTTGAACGTGAGTATTCAATATATGTTGATATATATAGATGTAATCAGAACTCTAAGTTGTAATTTCTATAGGATGCATTTACTGATGTTGCAAAACGCCTCTTCACGTTTCATGTGTACCCCACCCAGGCCATAGTAAAGGAAACCTTTAAGGCTTACATAGAAGAAATGTTTCCAGATTTTATGTCTAACATAGGTCAAATAACTTTACAAACTGTTATCATGGCAATTGGTTGAGTCAGGTAATGTTCTCTTTCTTAATTATATATTGCTTATCTGTTATGTTCATTTACAATCATTTATAATCGTTTATAATTTTTAACACATTTATTTACTATAATTTATACTATACAGGTAATATTTTTAAATTAAAGCATATATTGTTTGTAATTATGAATAATTGTTTTTAATTAGGAATTATTATTTTTAATTTATTTCATAGCTCCTGCAAAAGATTAAGAATAATCGCGGTGCTGCCTTGCAAAGTGTTAGGTCTGCAGTTTGGTGTATTTTTAGGCATAAAAAGCTGCCTCTCTTAAAAAGTAATGTGGCTGCAGCCGCCATTGTGAGTTGGAAGGAAAGTCAACCCATAAGCAATTGCTATCGCATGTTTTTGAAAAAAATAATGAAGGTACACTCTGGGTGTATACGATTGCAAGAACAGCCTTTTCAGCGATGGCGGTCCCAACTTTGACAAACACACATTGTGTGTTCAAGCTTGCGGTATGCGACATCCTGCTAAACCCATAATCACAAAACATTCTGTATACCGAAAGATGTATGAAATGTCGTATTGAAAAATATTTGGTAAGTAATTATAATGTAGTTTTTATTTATATTAATTTTAATTAATTTTAATGTATTATTATAGCAAGAATTTAAGGGTAATGGTCTCTTACATGATACTGCTAATGCCATATTAACTGATGGTGAACCTTGTAATGATAAATGATCTGATAGAGCATCACCTCAATATGACCCTGATCTTGATGAAACCCTTCCTCAAAGATCTTCATCAATGCATCTTTCCCAAGAAGAGATGGATGATTTGTTTGATTTCATTTTGTAGCATTTTATGTTTTTTTAGATAGTTTTTTTTTTAATGTATATTAAAGATCTTCATCAATGCATCTTTCCCAAGAAGAGATGGATGATTTGTTTGATTTCACTTTGTAGCGTTTTATGTTTTTTTTAGGTAGTTTTTTTTTTAATGTATATTATATATATTATGTATTGCGCATTGCTTTAATATTACAATAAAAAAATGTAATGTATGTAAAAGTAAAATTCTAAATAAAATAGTTACTGCTTTAAACGTTATATTGCTAAAGCGCTATAGTTGGTATAATATTAGTATTAAATTAGCTATCAAATAAATGAATATATATTGAGAAGAATCGAAAATATAGACTAATTGATATATATTGAATTTATATTATAATGGCTATATATCGATATATATTTAAATCGATATAACCCAACAGGGGGGATTGCTATCGATATATATCCAATATAGATATATATCGATATATATCGGTATGTTTTTTTTGCCGATATTCTTGCAAAGTTTCTTGTAATTTCTACATTGTTTGTGTATATTAATTCTATTTTGTCTTATCTTAATTTGATATGCACTATCTAAATCATAAATATAAAGTTGTGTATAATTTGCATTATTATTAGTTGTAAGAAGAAGTAAACTAGATCTGTATCAAAGTTTATTATGAATATAAAAGCTATATGAAGCATGACTATTGAAAACAAATATATCAATTTCTACTTCAAGAGAAGTGAATGTATGTGCTATATTATATTGGCTACAAAATTCTTTATATTGCTTATTATTATTTTCAAAAAGATGCTACAAAAAATATGGTAGTTTATGAAAAAATAAAATTATTACTTTTCTATCACTACAGCATATTCCAAATTTTAGATTAGCTTTAAATGACTTTGCAACATATTTATCTAACCAATGAAGTACACCACAATGAATATACTCTATATTTATATAACTGATATTATGCTGTATATTATTCTGTTGAAATTCAGTAACAATTTCAAAATTTTGTATAATAATGCTCTTTTATTTCGCTTATTTTCTCTTTGTAATTTTTGTGCAATAGATCTTTGATTTATTGTATTATTGGCTTGTTTATATTGTCTTTTTTCTGGTTAAGAAAATGCTCTTTAATTAATTATATCTTCTACATGTTCATGTTTTATTCCATATTGAGACTCATCTTTTTAGTTTTTAATATTATTTAACCTTTCATGCTGTTTTCTTTCCTGTTGTGCAATAAATCTTCTATTTGATTCAGTAAAAAGTAATTGCATTTTATGTTCACGTTTACACCTTTGTAATTGTGCAAAGACCTTTGACTCATAATAGATTGTTTTTTTTTTTTTTAATCTTTAAAGGTGAGGTCATGCCTCTATTTTTATTAAAATCTAATTAAACTTATAATAGATTGTTATTATTGTATAATAAGAAAAAAAATTTTTATTTAATTTGCAAATTTATTAATAAATATAACAGATGTATTAGAGTGTAAAAAATATAAATGGGTGTTGTGCTAATAAACTAACATAGAAGAAAT